TCACGACTTGCAATTGGGTCTTTGGACCTTGTCTGTGACGAAACTCGTCCACTCGCCTTCAATCTTGCCACTGTGTTGAATCAGGCTCTGGTACCACTTGATATGACCTCAACCTCTAGGTCGTGATGATCATAGTCACGCAACCAAAATTAATCAAAGGGATTGATCAACTCTAACACCTTGAACCAAAACAGAACACCCAAAACAGAGTTTTGGTTTGGATACGGGGATTGAACGTGCAACTTCAACACGAAAATGGGAAGAGGCTCGAACAATATAAATGTAGAATTCTAGTCCAAAATCAAGATGAATGCTTGATTGATACAGAGAAGAACACGAGCAACTAGAATCCACCAAATCCCCAAAGCCAATTCACGAGAATAAAACTCAACGAACAAAGGTTAAGTTTCGATTAAACTTCAATGCTTTACAACTAGGGTTTAAGGCCCTTAAATAGGCAAAGGACAATGTAATTCTAAGCTAACTAGGAAAGGAAAGACATCTACAATACTAACAAGTAAAACAACACAAAACTAACTAAAAAATCCTTCCCAAACTTAGCTTCCAACTCGGTTGATGCCTGTCTAAGTAGCTAGCTTTCTCCTCAAGTAACCAGAACTGCTTCCATACCAACTTCAGGATCTTCGTTCTATCGCATCCAAGTTGAGTCAAGCTCAACAAATTCCTTCAAGCTCTTCAGCAAGTCATGTACTTTCATTTCCAACTCGCAGCTGCCCTCGAATGTCCCTCAAACGGTTCGAATAAGCCTCCAAGATGGTATCTCGAATTATTTCCATACTTGGCCAAGATGGTACCTCGAATCAAACGGTTCAAAACCTCTTCTTCCCCTCCCCATTATTGATTCTCTGAGCTTAAATTGGATTGTGCTTGGATCATATTTGGGCTCATCAATGTAAAGATAAGTTCATCTTCAAAGCATCCACTTCTTCTTCACAAGAGCCATACGTTTCGCTGCTATGAATGAGAAGAGAGTGGCGAATCTGCAGACTGACAAATGGATTCTGGGAACAAGGTGAACTCGATCTGGTGCAGAAGAGTAGACAAATCAATCCATGGAAGTTCCTTCTTCCTTTTTGTGCAAAAGAGAAAATGGGAGAGAGAATGGAGATTGAGAAGATGAATATTTGTGGATGTGGTTATGGAGCAGAGGAAACGTATAAGAAATTAAGGAAGGAAAAAAAAATGAAAGCAAAGAGTCCTTGAAGTCCCACTTTCTTTTATCTCTTTTTTTTTTTTTTGATAATGGTGAAATTTTATTAAACAAAGAAAATAAACTGTTCACAGAAAGAAACCAGGATCAAGAGGAATGATCCTGAAAAGGAACCAAAAATACAGGAAAAACCGAAACGGGAAGAGAAACGGAAACAGAGACGCAGAACCGAGGCCCTACAAGACAACAACGACCCCCAGCAGGAAGCAAACTTCCTGCTCAATCTGAAACCAAATCCCCTTTGCCCGGCCTATCGACTCCCCTTCGCTCTGCCTCAGGAAGAGGGAAGCCACCCATCACCGCTTCTAACGTCATGTCGCCAGACAATAGCAACAGAGAAGGACGGGCAGCATCCAGGGAACAGCCAGCGTCCCCGAAGAATACTGCACTCCCCTAAAACAACAAAAGACACACTCGGAAGACCAGGATTCACAAGCAACTCACTGATCGGTTAAAACGCTAAACCCTTCTCGATCAGCCATCTCCTCCCCTCTGATTTCTGCACCTTTCCGTTAACCACGATCCATTCCATTGCCTTCCTAGCCGCCTTTATCCCCACCGCTTCCCAGCATGTTGCTTTGTCCTCGAAAGTCCTCTGATTCCTCTCGAGCCAAACAGCCCACCAAATAGAATGTAAAATACAAGCATCAAAACACTTCTCGATTTCGTCTCCATCGGCGCTATCCCAACTTGCTATTATTTGAACGATCTCGCCGATCCATCTAGGTGTCCTGTTCCTTCTGCTGTACATCATGTTCCAGATCCTCCTAACGAAATCGCACTCCACGAGCATGTGCTGGGTAGACTCCTCATTATTCTTGCACAGCACACAAATGTTGGCCAGAAACAAGCCTCTTTTCTTTAAATTATCAAGGGTAAGCACTCTATTATGGTAAGCAAGCCATATGAAGAAGCAGATTTTACTCGGAATCCAGGAAATCCAAACATTTTCTGCTGGAAAGTCATCAATCTCTCTTAAGTACATGCCAGCGAATTCCCTATATAAAGATCTCACAGAGAACTTTGAATTTGCCTCCAAATTCCAAATGATCCTGCACGGACTATAAGAAGAAGCCGCAAAATTCACAGAGTTTAAAAGATTCATGAGATTATCCCTCTCCCTCGCTGCCCCACCCCTCAAGATATATTTAAAATCAAAGTTCCAACTCACCAACTCACCCTGGGTATTTGCAGTGTCAGACAGGAGAGCTTCCGGGTCAAGGACGGCAGCAGCGACGCGAGGAAACGAAGCAGCCAGCACAATCCCCGGGATCCAACAATCGTACCAGAAGGAGACTTGAGTTCCATTCCCCGGATCAATCACAGCAGAGTGCCAAAACAAATCATATTCTTTGCTGATATTAGCCCAAACCGACTTGGAGAAACCCCTTCTTTCTCTCTTAGTCTGCCAACAAGACAACTCATTCGGAAATTTGCAATTAATCAACCCCCGCCACCAGCTGCCTCTCTCCGTAGCAAACCTCCATAGCCATTTCGTCAGCATAGCATCATTGAATAGCTCTAAATCGTGAATGCCCAGACCTCCCTTCTTGACCGGCGCTTTGCAGACCTCCCAATCCATCAAGGCTGGCTTACAACCCTCTGATTTCTCGCTCCAAAGAAATCTTCTTTGGTACCTTTCCAGATCCTTAATAACAGACTTTGGGGCCTTGAAAAGAGAAAACAGGTAAGTTGGGGAACCAGAGAGGACCGCATTGATGAGAACAAGCCTCGCACCGTAAGACATATTCCTACTTCCCCATCCACTAAGTCTGTTTTGATATTTTTCAACGATTCCATCCCAAATCGAGCTGTCGTTCGGTTTCGCGCCAAGAGGGTATCCGAGATATTTCGGAGCTTCACTACTCCATTTGCACCCGAAAATGGCAGCAAAATAGCTCGGTTCAGCTACGTCACCCACCGTGTACATTACTGATTTCTCCAAGTTAATACGCAGCCCAGTCACGGTTTGAAACAGCACTAGAGTTGCCAGAATGTTCAGAACCTGATCGTGTTTTGCGTTGCAGAATATAAGGGTATCATCAGCATAAAGCAGGTGCGTCACTTCCCCTATCTTCTTACCCTCATCCATGTAGAATCCTTCGAACTTCCCACTAGCTCTCACTTTTTCCAGCATCAAAGAAAGCACATCCATCACCATCACGAACAGACCTGGAGATATAGGGTCCCCTTGGCGAAGACCTTTGGAGACCGGAAAGAAACCGTTAGCTTCTCCGTTAATAAGAATAGACACATTGTAATCGAACATCGAGCCTTTAATCCATCTCTTTTCCATCTCTATAATTAAAACATGGCAGAAATTCTCTAATATGAAGTCGACAAAAACGGGCAAAGGTAATATAGCCTAGCGGTGAAACCGTTTGTCTGGTTGGCTCGGGATGTGCGAGGTCCTGAGTTCGATCTCCAACGGCGCCGCTTAAGTGTTCTCGGAGGCATCCCTGAGTGTTGGGGACGAAGTCTCCCGATGTTGTATCTTGTACAGGTGCTCCCTAGGTTTAGTAGACCCCGCTGTCACAAAGTGGCACGTGGGGTTGATGTTCCTGGGTTATAAAAAAAGTCGACAAAAATAACATATGCTTCATCCCTCTTTTAATCAAGGCCGACCAAGAGAGTGTGTCGGCCCGCCCTCCAGCACAGGGCCTCCGAATATTAGGGGCCTCCACTCAGATCCGTTAGTTACCGATCAGAATTGTAGGTTGTATTTTCAGTGTATGATTGATTGATCATGAGTATGATGACGAGTTTAATAGATAATATTAGCTATAATAACTATTGAAAAGGATCTCATGGACAATACGAAAATGAGAGAGATAATAGATCATTGTAATTTAAACAATATAGAAAGATATTACATTTTGAATAATTGTATTATAATCATTTTAGTTTTATTATAGTTAAAAGTCAATTAGGACCACGTCTCAATTTTGGAATGGGCCTCCACGATCTATTAGATCGCACCCACCTCTCGATCAATTTAGACTATTTTCATTTCTCCATTCAATTTTTGCGCTATATCCATTTTCTCTTCCCTCCAAAGTTTCTTTCCTCCCTCCTTGCTAGGGTTGGGAATTTGGTCTTGGTTTCTTGGTCAAACTCGAAGCGAGATCGTTTATTGATTTTGGAATCAATTTCTGAACTTATGTAATTTTTATAATTATTTAATAATTTCCATTTATAATAAATTTATAGAGAAAAAAATTTAAGGCCACATTTTAAATTTTCGAATAGGGCCTCCAAATATCATGGGACGACCATGCTTTTAATTCATTAATACCCTCATTGATTTTACCCTAATAAATAGTCACCTTAAAACCTCTCTTTGAATACTATAAAATAATGACAATCCATTTTCTTATGTGGCTATTATTGTCATTCATTGTTTATATTTCTTCCATTTATGTTTCCCAATTAGGGTCATTAGGGTAGATTATTTATTTATTTTTGTTGCAAGTGACGAACTAGAAATTGGTCTTATATTATCAGTAGTTTTGACTTTTGAGCATGGAAGTTTTAAATTCGAATATCTTAATTAATAAAATCACAGAAAAAAAATTTATATCACCTTTATCAATAAATTAATGAAAAATATTGTTGTAAGTGTGACAACAATTTATTTTTTGTTTTTATTTTATAAGTTTGGCAACTTTTTGTTGGACCTAAAGACATGTGAAGAGTTCAGTGAGTAGCGGGTGAAGCTTAACTAAGATAGCAAAACAAAAAGGTAGATACGAAATGTAAATGCGATGTAACATCAGTTGTCTTGAGTTCATAACAATAACTTTATGTTCCGCCAATTTTGTAATATCTACCTGTCATAAACCAGTTGGTCTCAATAACTCGAGTTGTTGGGAGAGGTTTAATCGTGGATCATATACCACAACACTAACACGCCCCCTCAAACGAAAGCCACTTATAAGGGCTTGAAGATTGCACATGTCTGAAGACAAGAATACCATGTGCTTAACAAATGGGGGTCTCCTAGAATCGAACACAAGACCTCTCAGTCACAGAAGGCTCTGATACCATGTCAAGAACCAGTTGATCCCAATAACTCGAGTTGTTGGGAGAAGGTTATGCTGGATCTTATACAGGCCCGTGTATGGTGCTTAACCACTTCCTTACACACCCCCTCAAACGAAAGCCGACTCATGGGCTTGAAGTTTGCACAGGCCCAGCCCTACCATGTGCTTTGAAGATAACGGTTAATATTTGGGGTCATGAGGAATTGAACACGTGACCTCAATGACAAACCAGCTCTCCTGATGTAACTTCAGGTTCTGTTCCATGGGTGTCGAACACGGAATGCAGGTGCTAAACTGGGTTGTCTCGAGCAAATCAGCAATGTATTTCTTCTGAGAAACAAAGAGACCCTGTTCCGAGCGCTGAACTTGCAGCCCAAGAAAATATTCCACCGCACCGAGGTCCTTCAAATTAAAGGAACGATGAAGTGAAGCCTTTAACTCATCAATGCCTTGGGTATCACTGCCCGTAATGATCATGTCGTCCACATATATAAGCAGATCACCACTCCATCTACGGTATTGCGCAAGAACAAGGATGGATCATTATAACTCTGTGTGAAACCCTCTTGAGCAATAGTACTGTGAAATTTCTCGAACCACGCACGTGGTGCCTGTTTAAGTCCATATTACGATCGTACCAGCTTACAGACCATGCTCGAATCTCCCTTCCCATAACCTGGAGGGCGCTCCATATATATGGTTTCCTTTAGATCACCATGTAGGAACGCATTTTTCACATCTAACTGAAATAACGGCCACCCTTTCATTGCCGCAACTGCAAAAACACATCGGACCGTTTGCATCTTAACCACTGGAGCAAAAGTCTCATCATAATCTATAAACCGTTTGCTCTTATACCATGTCATAAACCAGTTGGTCCCAATAACTCGAGTTGTTGGGAGAGGTTCAATCGTGGATCATATACCACAACACTAACACTACCAAATACTCTGCCCTTTCCCGAGCTGAAAACTACATATCTGCCAGATTCGAAAGGCATAGAACTATCCTTCATCAGCAAGGTCAGCATTGCGCGAAAGCGATGACTAGATAGCACAGATGCAAAAACTAAGCAGTACAAGACCCAAGAGCATTCAACAGGAAGCCCAGCGATCTATATGTTCTCACAGTTCACCATCCCAAAGTTGTTCCACAGACTTATACGCGCCATAACTCTCACTCACAAACACTGTACCTTTAATCAGCCTTTCCTGCAAAAATCAGAGCACAAAAGAATGAGGTCTGCAGTTATATATAGCTCTCACTGTCGATGACGAGCTTCTCAACTGCTCAGCCAAGTATGGAATAAGCTGTTCAGGGTGCACAAAACACATTTAACAAGTAGCATATGCAGTTCAATCGGGGCCATGGAGTCGAAACTAAAAGTCCACTTGCCTGCTCAATTTCAGCAAATTTGGGAAGCAAATCATCAGGGATGGACCAGTCCAGAACATCAAAGTTCTCCTTGATCCTGTTCTTGTTTGTGCTCTTTGGCAGCACACTGTGCCCCGCTTGTATTCCCCATCGCAGTGCTACTTGGGCAGGGGTTTTCCCTAATTTTTCTGCAACTGTGTTGAGAACCGGATTCTTCAGAACCTCGGTCTTAATACTTCCCGGAGAGCCCAGTGGCGAATAGCCCTGCAAAAGACTTGGATCATGAACCCTTTTCCTTGAAAGGAAAAGTAAAACTCAGGTTAAGAAATTCCAGCTTACCGAGAGATGAATGCCCTTGGACTTGCAGAACTCATGGAGCTTTGGCTGCTGCCATACGGGATGACATTCAACTTGGTTAACAGAAGGGGGAATACGAGCTACTGCTAGCAAATCTCCGAGCTTCTTCGTTGAAAAATTACTGACTCCAATGGCCTTAGCTTTGCCTGAATCACAGAGGGCCTCCATAGCTTTCCATGTACTAGGTATGTCAGGGGTTTCAAGGTTTTCAGTCTTGAACCCCACGGACCCTTTCTTCATCCTCACAGGCCAATGAACCTGTAATCAAAACGAAGTACACCCATTTAGTAACTGAAGAAACAAAGTACTAAACGTTAGTAAATCATATAGTCACCAATCAACAAGTCCACGTATTAGATAGAGATCCACATAGTCAAGCTGCAAATCCCTCAAAGTCCTATTTAATGCCTCTGGCACATCTTCAGGAGCATGATCAGCACACCTGAGAATTAATAGGCCATAGACTAGCTATTGTAATGTCTACACACCCAAATTCGGCAGTCTTTAGAGATCACTCTGCCCTTTTGACACTGAGAGCCTTACCAGAGCTTAGAAGTGATCCACACCTCATCACGCTTGACAACTCCATCAGCAAACAGCTTCTGAAGCGCAGAGCCAATCTGCAGACACCGCCACAAAGGCAAAACCCTAGATATGAAAGAAACCGATATTACGAAAATTAAAACATGAAAGCAAAGCGAAGTTGCGAGAATCGTCACCTCCTTCTCGTTAGCGTAGGCCTGCGCACAATCAATGTGCCTGTATCCAATCTGCGTCCACGCAGCACATCGAACATTAATCTCGAAGCTAGGGTCCCTTTGGCTTATAGAGTGGCAGCGAAAAAGAAAGGAATCCACAAAAAACAGACGAATTGGTCGTTCACAATCGTATTATCCAGACAGGGAGGGCAAAGCCATGGAATCCATCACGCAGTTTCGTCGTACACAATTGCCGTATGAACTAATGCTAACCCAAAATCGAAATGGGAAGGATCAACCGGCATTTAATCAAGAACGAAAGGAAATTACCTTAATGGCGGTGGTGACGGTATCGCCGACGACGCCAGGAGCAGCTTGCCAAGTCCCGAGACCGATCGAAGGGATCTTAGCTCCGGTGTTCAGTTCAAAGGAGCGCCTGGCCTGCGCCATCATTCCCCGACGGCAGAGAATCAAAGAGTGGGGACTGAGGAAAGTGGCGGTTGCAGCAGACTGTTTTGGAGCTTATTGTAAACAAGATTGGAAGGAATGGTGAGGAAGGAGGAAGGCCAAAGCCATGGAGAATATGTAGGCGAGGAGGCAACAGTCAGTCAGTCAACTCAAGAATGTGCTTTCACAATTGGAGTTTAGTCTTTGAACGCTCAACGCCAACGGAAGGGAACGGAACGGTCCTCTCTCGCCAAATGGTGAACGAATGTGGCTGGGAATTGGAATCTTCAAAATCAATTTGGCTATTGCCTTCTTCATTTGTACTTTTCCCGCTCGGAAAGGGAGATGGTAAAATCAATCAAATTCAATCCAAAATCATGCCGGTCGACGCCTCGACGGGTCGAGCAAGTACCTTTTATTTTCCTAATATTATAAAAAGGGTAAATGACACATTTGGTCACTGAGATTACTAAATTGTGCCATGTATAGTCACTAGAAAAAATTAATATCAATTTTGGTCACTCGAATTACCGAAACTGGTCAAATTTAGTCACTCTCCCGTCAGTTTTCGTCCAACTCCATTAATGTAGTTGGACGGAAACTTTTGGGAGAGTGACTAAATGTGACATGTTTCAGTAATCCGAGTGACTAAATGTGTCATTTTTCAATAATTCGAGTGACCGGAGTTGGACAGAGGCTACAGAAGAGTGACCAAATGTGACCTATGTAAGTAATTCGAGTGACCAAAATTGATATTAAATTTTTCTAGTGACCAAATATGACACGATTTAGTAATCTCAGTGACCAAATGTGTCATTTATCCAAAAAGATTATAAAAAATACAAAACTTTATCCACTTTCTCGTTACACAATTTTCCACATGTCATTTATATAACAACATTACAACATTAAAGTTTTTGGTTAATGGTTAACAGAAAATAAGCGATTGTGGTGACAATTTATAAATCAATCCACAAACTCAATCCATCCGCTTAAATATCAAACTAATCCAATCCATTTAAATCCAATCCATTTTATCCAAATGAAAAATTACAATTTAATAACTATACTTTTTCTATTTTACATTTTCATACCTAAAATTTATTTATCATTATGACATTTTAGCACATAAACTTTTCAAAATTTACATATTGGTCTAAGACTTCGATGTAATTTGGATCCATGGATCAATCCACCAATCCATATGATCCAATCAATGAATTCACCAATCCATTTGATCCATAGATTTACCAATCTAATCCACCGATCTATTGATCCAATTCTTTTTTTTTTTTGTCTACATTACCCTTTCAAATAAGATGAGTTATTGGTAGGGTACCACAGTAGTAGATACCTCCATTGAATTACAGACCAAGAAGATACAAGAAATCATAAAGATCATAATGGAGGCCAGGATAACGAAGGGCATTCCGTGCCACAAAATGGCCAGCCCGATTCGCTTGTCGAGTAGTGTACATAAACTGTACTAATGGTAGATGACACAAAAGACTAGGAACTTCTCTGAGAATTGCTCCGCCCTGAGAATCAGACATGGTACGAGTCATCAGTTGATGGATAACATGTTGTGCATCACTTGTAATGAGCACCGGTCGGGTGGTCCAACCCCAATGGAGAAGAAGGTATAGTGCCTCATGGACCGCCAACAACTCAATTAAATAAGAGTTGGTATTTGATGGTATTGTCCTCTCAGAAGCAAAGATTGAAGAAGATTCCTGGAATCCCACAATACCAACAGATAATAAAGTCAGGTATGGATCCAATTCATCACCTATAGGCAGTGATGACATATTTGATGGCGTGAAAAATTTATTACTAAAATGAACAGATAATAAAGTCAGCTTGCTCACTTGGCAAAAATTGTTATTAAAAAGGAAAATAATATAAAAAAAGCAAAATTAAATTACTCTCTCCCCCTATCTCTCTCCCCCTGAGACAATTAGAATTTATTCTCTCTTTCCTTGACAATAGAGAAGATAACTCACCACCACTGTCACCCTCAGCTGCCGATTTGATATCTTCCTTAATACTCGATGGTGTCGACAGATGCGAAGGTTATGCTTCTGTATCTGGGGATTGCACTAGGGACAATGACACCCTTGGCGGGTCGACTTTCCCGTCTTGCTCCCTATCGGATCTACGAAGAGACAAGATACTATGACAATACCCTATATGTTTTTAGAGTAACAACAAACTTCATTAAGAGCATAAGAGTAAAATTAACCAAAAATTAATTAATTAAAAATTAAATAAACCACTTTCTCGACTCATATTCACTCTCCCTCTTCAACAAAAATTGCTACGGCATCTCTGCATTCCAACCTCTTCGTCTCCGACAACAGTCCTCTTCTTCTCTAACGACAAACTCTCTCCAGCTCTTCTCCTTCACAGACATAATGGCAGAAAAATTGCAATTCACTTTGATTCTTTCTCCTTTTGTAACCATTCTTTCTCGACATAAGAGATGGCAGCGGACTCTGGAAGAAATCGGCTCCGTCGTCAAGGAAATCGAGAGAGGATGAACTGGAGAAATCCGAATCCCAAAATCCAGCGCTCCTCTCCGGATCAACAATAATAGCTCTCATGCTGCTCTTCCATGACTATTTCTTTTCGGTTCGTCTACACCTGTAGCTGATTTGGGCCTAATTGTACACATTTTACCCCCATTTTCCTTAGGCGTTTGTGGCAATTGTGCTCCTAAAAGGGTGGTTTTACGCTAGGTTTCTTGTATTTTAGCATGTTTCAGGGTTTAACAGGTGAAACCAGCCCCTGAGTCGAAAGTTGGACGAAAAGTAGCGAAAACCAGGAGAAGAGGAGAAAAAGAGGCAGTTCACGGTTTTTCCTGGGAGTTCACGGTATGCTTAGACCGTGAAGAGGAGCTGTTGCCCGTGAACATCGAGGCGTCCAGGGCCAAATCTCAAGTTACTGACGCTAATTGAGTTCACGGTCACTAAGATCATGAACATGAGTTGTTGCCCGTGAACCCGTGCAAGTGAAGCGGTGCATTTCGACGCCCATCTTGAGTTCACGAACGCGTTTCATAGTTCACGGTCGTGAATTGACCACGATCCCTGTTTAAAAGAAGAGCTGAAAGGAAGAGAGAGAAGGGAGCCCATTGAGTGGGAAAATCTTATTCTTCATATTTTAGAGAGAGAAAGACGAACCAAAGGAGAAGAAGGCTAGGGTTTTGCTCCAAGTGTGGATTAGGGAAGATTCTCCCCAAGAGAAGTTCAGCACAAGTGCCAAGAAGATTGGAAGTCTCCTTCATGATGGTTTCTACCTCTTCCCCTTGTGTTTCTCCCACTTCTAGCTTGGAGTAGATTTCTTTTTTACTTGGGTGTTATGAAACCCTAACTATCTACCATGTAGTTTCTGTTATGTGAATTGAATGATTATTAATGGGTGTTGTCTAATTCAATGATTGAGGTATTATTCATGTTGATTGTGCATGTTTTGTGCTTAGCAATCTTATTAGCAATCTTTAACCTAGATTAGAGAGGGAAAACCCCCTTTCAAGGGGGGATCAATTGAGTTGGTATTCCTAGGGCTTTTTAAAGTCACCTATCTAAGTTAATTTAGGGCAAACCTCGATGTTGGATTCAGAAATTTGGTTAAGCACGATTAAGCCGCCCAACCATTGGGTTGAGTAAGGGAGTAAGTCAACCATCGATTGCCTAAACCGAGAGGGCCGAGTGACAGCCTATAATGTATCCCTCGGTTTAGCAATCGAGAGTGTGGTTTACGCCATATTTGCGTCCCCTAGCATTTCGCAGTCATCTTTCCCATAGCAATCATTTCATTTCACATACCATGGTTGTAGTTAGGGGGAAGCGACACCCGAGTGATCCTTCTCACAAAAGAGCTTTCAAAACCATCCACTTTTGTCTTGCTTTACTTTAATTAGCATACTTTTCAACCAAAACCGAGTAGCTAGATAATGATTCAAATGACTGAAGTATGGGTACACGGACCGGCCCGAGTCGATATTTAAACACACTTGCCTCGTACTGCACCTGACTAAGGTTTATACTTAGGCGTGAATTAATTGTGGTATTCGGGACGAGTCAAGTTTTTGGCGTCATTTCCGGGGATCAACAGTCTATTATCTTGAAAAATTTGTTTGACGTTAATCTAGCTTAATTTCCGGTTTTGAAAGTGTGTGTGCTTTGCTTGTGCTAGACTTGGTGTTGTTTTCTGATTGTGTGTAGGTGGTGCATGACCCAGAGCAATCCGACACCTTTGCTACCACTTGAAGAGGACATAAACCGAACTCTCCGGCTCCTGGCAAGAGAGATAGAGTTAGCGGAGGCAAGGAGAATGAGTGAAGGAAGGGGCCAACAATCGGGTCCCGGTGTTAGTGAAGAAGAAGTCGAAGAAGTGGAAGTTGAACCCGTCGTTGGAGTAGAAATGGCGGGGAACCAAAGACAAGATGGAGCCACCCAAGCTTGTAACCTACACGATGTGGCGGAGGAAGAGGAAGCCCCAAGGACAATGGGGGTACTATATGGCCCCACAGCTGGCGGACATTCAATCGCCGATCCTAAACCCTCCCGTGGCGGCAAACAATTTCGAGATCAAGCCGGCTCTAGTGACTATGATACAGAGCAATGCTTTGTTCCATGACCTTGAGAGCGAGTCACCAAGAGAGCACGTGCAGAGGTTCTTGGAGCTCGCGGGATGCTTGAAAATTAATGGTGTGCAGGCCGAAGCTTTGCAACTAAGGCTTTTCCCCTACTCACTTGCGGGAAAAATGCTTCGTTGGTTAAACAATCGCCCACCTTAGTCAATCACCTAATGGGATGATCTTCTCAACAAATTCATGACTCGCTACTGCCCTCCTCCGAAGACGGCGGAGTGGAGAAAGAAGATTACCCATTTTGAGCAAGAAGAGGACGAGACCTTGAGGGACGCTTGGGAGCGGTACTCCATTTACTTTCTTCAGTGCCCTCACCACGGGTTTGAAGAACAGTTCCGGATTGAAACCCTCTACAGATGTCTAATCCAAGAAGACAAAATTCTGATTGACTCCTTGTGTCAAGGGAAATTGAGGAATATGGCTCCGCCTCAAGTAACCGAGCTACTTGAAGACATGGCCCTTAGGGGGTATGATTGGGAATTGACTAGAAGTGGGAGGAGAAGCAATGATAGGGGAGTGAGAAGCGTGGGAGCGAGCACTCCGCTTAAAGTGAAGTTGGATAAGTTGATAGAGGTAATGCTTGAAGATAAGGGGCAAGGAA